AGTGACAACTGCTCCATTATTTTAGATGCTGCTCATGGACCCGCAGTGTAACCGGAGCCCGGGGAGGAATGGGAAGTGATGGGGCAAAAGGGGGCTGGGGATGGGGGCAGCCCTGCGGTGCGTTCACCCTTGTTTCTCACAAGGAAAACTCCTCTTTGGATGTGAACGCTGCAGCACCAAGGGGATGTGAGGATGGGAAGCAGGCACTTGGCTGCAGTCCTGGTTTAAGGGTGGGTTTGAAGCCCTTCAAGGCCAGGTTGGACACAGGGGCTTGGAGCAAGCTGCTCCAGTGGAAGGTGTCCCTGCCCATGGCAGGGGTTGGAGCTGGATGAGCTTTAAGCTCCCTTCCACCCAAACCAATCTGGGATTCGATGGTTTAGGCAATGGTGCCTCCTCATGGGATGATGCCAGCTGGGTCGGGACAGCGGGTGAGGATGGAACACCTCACGTTGTTCCTCAGTTTCCCCAGGGATGTGATGTGCAACCCTAGGAAAGGATGGGGAGGGACCAGTTTAGAGCTGGCCTTGCTAAAACCAGTGCGTTTAGCAGGGAGAGGGCTGTGGCAGAGCAACACAAGGAGCTTCTTACCAGCAGCATGGGGCTTGGTCCTCCTAGGCCTGCATCCCTGAGCATCCCTCGGTGGCAGCCTCGGAGCCTTTCTGCGAGCCCTCAGCACCACCTAGTGTTCCTGAATTACCCAGGGCTCCATTTCTGCACGCCCAGGACGTGTCCAGCCACGCCATGTGATGGCTGGTACCCAAGCATCCTGCAGCCCTTACCCCTGCATCCATAAGGACCCCGACCCCAATTCCTGCCTCTTCTCCCGTTTAAGCACACAGATCCCTTGTGCAAGATCTCTGGTGTGAAGGCTGCTCCCCAAAACCCAGCACCCACAGCCCTCCCAAAGCTTTCTTCTTCATGGGCATGGATTTGCAGGGCAGGCTGAAATGCTTCAGCATTTGGGGAGATGCTGGTTTGTTGCACACTGGGGCTGTATTTCCCTTGCTAAAGGTGAGTAAATATCAGGGTTTGAACTGGCTCCTCTCCCCATCGGTTTTTGATGGATTTGGGGATTGATCGGGATGCTGAAAAGGAGAGGAAATGATAAACGCTTGCTTAGGAAAGAGGGTTGGAGCTGGAGTGCTGGGGAGGAGGAGAACAGGCACAAACACAAGGGTGATAAATATGGGGAGGAGGAAAACCAACCATCAGTATTAACACCACCACTTCCCAAACCCAATTTAAACAACAAAGGGCTCAGTGTTAACGGGTCAAGGTGATGAGCTTATTTCCCCTCTTTTCACACGGACCTGACATCCACATCTGATGCTGCTGGCTCCTCACAATCCCATGTCCCGGTTAACCTCAGCACCATCTACAGGCATTTCTTCCAGCTCCAGGTGCTGAAGATCCATGAATAATTGTTCCTTATCCCAGATAAACCCCGCTGGTTTCAATGGGTGACATGGGTACGGACAGCAAGAGCAAGCCCAGGCGGACGGAGGTGATTCCTCCCTCTGCCACCGAGATGCGCCCTTGCTCCACTCATTGCTCGATGGAGGATGGAGCTGGTTTCACGGCATCATTTCCTTGCTCTTCCATCAGCTGTAAGCTCTGTTTTCACCCTCCTTGCCCCCATTACAATTTCCATGGAGTTTTGCCCATTTTGTGCTCATTTTTGGGTTCAATCACTTCAACCTTTACCCTCCATCACCTCTCCCTGTATCTCCCTTTCTGTTGCTTTTCACTGTTTTCTTGCTCTCTGCCTTTGTTGTCTCTTATGTTGCCTTTATTTGCCTACACTATTTCCTCTCTAGTGATCTTCTGTCCCTTATTGACGCTGTTCCCTTGTCCAAGCACGCTGCAGAGCTGGCATCCAGCTGGGACTGATGCAGTTTCCATCACATCGTGGCCAAACTCTCCCTGCTTTCATATAATTCCAATCCCTTTCTCCTGTTTCCACCCAGACAAGGTCTCAGTCTGTTCAGGGGGGGCTGTAATAGAAACCTTTGGGGTGGTTTCTTCACTTGTGCTGCCTTTCTTTGCCTAGCTCTACAGCAGGGTGATGCCTTTTTGGTCCAGCTGTGCACGGATGCTGCTTGCACTGTGCAGCTGCAGATGTGCTGTACCAGATTGATTCACCTCCTCATTTTGCCATCTGGAAACCTCAGTCCTCGATGTCTTTGTGAAGGAACAGGGTGTTTGCAAGCAGAAGACCACATTTTGAGCAGGGTTTAATGAGTCCTTCTCCATCTCCTTTGCTAATTCCCAGTTTGTGCCTCCCAGGGGCTCTTTTCACCCCCCATCGCGCCCTGTCTGAGGACTAAAGCTGCCCAAAAGGAGCAGTAAATGGTGCTGGTGATAACTTGGAGCAGATCTCTGCCTCTTCCCGTCCTGCAAGGTACTTCATCATCACTGCAAATCTGGCTGCATATGACAGGTAAGGGCTCAGCCGATGGGAGGATGCTTTGAAGGGGTCTCTCCCTGGGTACCAGGAATGATGATGGGACAGAGCTGCTGCATCTATGGGAGCATGAAGCATGCAGCCATATTGCCACAGATATATTGCCTGTGGTGGGTGCTACGTTGAGCACCCACTTATCTGGACAGGTTTCATACACTCCCATGCATGGATGCAGGATGGGGGAAAGGAAACCGAGGTGTAATTCATTACCTTGGCTGTAAAGCACATTGATAGCCCAGTGAGGGACCATATAAATCTCTGTGTCTGGGTAAGTGTGCCAGGCAGCTCTCCAGTTGCAGGCAAGCTGTGCAGCTCATGGCTCTTTCACCCATCCTCCCTGCCAGCACAGGAAAGCAAGGGAACTGATTTCCTGCCTCTGACATTCCATCATTCCTCCCATTCCTCCGAGCGATTAAAGCGGAGCAATTCTCAATCATAATCATGCATTGCTCCATCCATCCTCCTGCATCCTCCGGCCTGTATCTAATGCTGCATCCTTGGAGACTGCAGGTACCAAAGAACATACTCTCTTTCCACAGGGCATCCTGAGGTGTTTCCCAGAGCAGCAAACTCCTGTTTTCCTGCTCACTGCATTGGCATGTCAGCATGAGGATGCTGCAGGCTGCTGTTTGCTCTCAGAGGTCCTATGGGCAGGTTTAGGGCTGCAATTCCACATGGGATAGGCAGGGAGAAAACAGGCAGCAAGAGGTGGAAAATAGAGACGGGCTGGACACAAAACACCTTTTTGAGGCCTCAGAATTCCTAGAAACAGGAAATGTGGGTGTTTTCCAGGGCTGATTTGATGCAATAAGTCATAGAAAAGGTGATGAGCAGGACTTGAGCCCTATGCTGGCTGTTTTGGCTGGGTGTGCGGTGCAGCGTGGTGACCCATCTCCAATGGTAGCCCAGTGCCTGTGGTTGGTGAGTTATAGGCTTTATATGTGATTTCCAGGCTGTTTAAGCAATTGCAAGGGCTTAAGGTGAAGATGGAGCTATAAATTAGAGACTGCTTTGGTTTATTGGTGTGTTATTCCCAATAATATGGTCGCTCTGGAGCATGGGAAGTGAGACATTTTGCTGAGGCTGGGTTCTGTTTACCCAACACTCAGGGATGGGCTTTACTACAGTGAATAGCCATAGAGAGCTGGTTTGTTTCCTTATAGTAAGATCCATGGCCCCACACACCCCCTGTGGTTTGGTTCTGCAAACATCTGATGGTGCAGATTTCCTGGTACACCACGAGCAGAGCACTCGGTGGCAGCAAACTCCCATTTCAGAGTCGGATTTAGCCAAAAAGAGCAGGTTTTAGCCCAAACCTCAACCTTTGCAGGCGAGAGGAGCTGTGGGGTTCGTGTAGCAGGTCCCGCAAGTAACGGCTGAGATTTCAGGGTGGTGTTTTTGGTGTTTCTTTTGCATTTGTGTATTTCCATGGGCTTGCACAGAGAGGCAGCAATTCCCCGGTTAAATAAATCCTCATTTCCCTTCATTTCACCGCTTGTTTTCCTTCCATTTATTTCTCAACCTCAGCTTCAGGTATAGTGTGTTTCGTGGGTAAAGCCTCTGATGTAAGCATCGTTATTCCAATGCATTCCAGGGCTTATGGGATACAGGTTAAAATGGCAACAGGCTCCCAGGACCAATTGAATGGAGGAACTGCCTAACTAGAGACAAGGAATGCCTGCAGCTTGGCTTTTGCCTCTGGAATGCTTGAATCACCCCACCTGAATAAACACGCCTGGTTTGGGCATCCAACCCCACCACCGATAGCATCAGCGGCGAGAGGATGCCTTTGGGATGCTTCTTCCTTTCCACCTCTCGGAATGGATCTATTAATGGATAACTGTTTTTACAAGAAGCCACCTGTTTAAACAGGACAAAGCTTTGCTTTTAATACATCAAAACACTAAGAGCAAGGCGAGATTGCCAAACAGCGCTTCTGCCCATGGGGTCATTTACAAACCAGGGTGGATACACGTGGAACATCTAAATTCAGCTTCCTCGCTACCATTCCCTGCTGCAGGTGTATTTGTTTTAAGGGGTGTAAGTAGCTGCTCTGTGAAAGTGAGTTAAACCCAGGGCTATGGCACAGAGGGCTCTGCAATAACAATCCTTACCTCTGTCCCAAGGGGACAATTAGGGATTAATCATTTAACATCATAAAGCACTCGCAGGGCTGGGGATGAAAGTGGGAAGTATTCTTAGGAATAAACTATGTTTTATAAGAGGCCTGATATGAGAATTCCTGGTTGGAATATGGAGGATGAGCAGGGGGTCCCCGGAGGAGCATCCATCGCATCCATCCCGACATGGGGAGCACAGAAAACAAAGCGCTTTGGGGAAATGAATCTGGTTTGCAGTGTTTTGTGGCTGGGGATGCGCCGAGGGATGTGGGGATGTGGGGTGGGGAGGATGCCCCATACAGCCTGCAGGAGGTGGGTGATGGGGCAGTCGACAGAAAGGGATTGAATCATTGCAATGAAATGGGAGAAAATAATGATTTTTTTTGGGGGGGGGAAGCCAGTTCTTCAAGTCAGGGATGAGTTTTGGGGCAGAAAACTGCAAATCAAAGCACCCGGTGTGCGCAGGGGTGTGGGTTATTGATGTGTCCGGGGTGACCCTTCCCATCCGTGTGGGGTTTGTGAGGCTGCCAGCACCCAGGGCGGGCAGGGAGGAGGCAGGTCTTGCAGGCAGGGGAGGAGCACAGCCTACCTGGGCGCAGGTGCTGCAGCGGGATCACCGGTGCAGGTAAGGCTCCGTTGGCCAGGACTGGTGTGGGGAGGGGGTTTCATGTTGGGAAGGGGCTGGGGAGGGGGGGAGAAAGCCACCTGAAGCCATAGGAATCACCCCTTATAGCTGGGAAAGGAGGGGACCCACCTGCCTGCCCTTTGGGTGGGTAAGGATGGGGGATCCCAAAAGCTGGCATCCTGTCCCCATAGAGAAGGAGGAGAGGGGTTGGGGTGGGTGAGCCTGCACCCATCCCCATGGGAAAGCAAATTGTTGGGGTCATGGGGAGCAGGCTCTGTTCTCCTGGACCCACCACAATGGGGTGTCCCAGTGCCCTGGGGTGCCCATAGGATGGGGCACAGGGGGGTTTGCCGCTGTCCCCTGCGGTGATGGGACGCGATGGGGCAGCCCTGTTGAGCGTGCAGCAGCATTGCCAAGGAGGAAGTGGAAAAACAAACGCTGTGGGGCATAAAGGCAGGCAGAGGGGAGCGTGGGGCAGGCTGGGGCCAAGCAGTGGCCCCAAAACCCTCCTAGCCCTTGGCACTCGCAACCAAATCGCATGCAAAAGCTGTGCCTAAAAGCTAAACCCAAATCACTGCTGCGGGCACCCAACCAGCAGCTCCCTCCCTGCAGAACTGCCCAGAAAGGCCTCATTTAATGCCCCAGAATGAAGAGTCCCAGGGTGCTGTAGGGAAAGGCTTTTTCCTCCTCCCTACTCCTAGTTGTTGTTACAACAGGTAATAACATCTCACTACGCGGCACACGATGCACGCACCGAGGCATGCAACGCATGCAGAGGTTCATGTCTGGCAGCCACAGCTCCCTATTAAACACAGTGGTAGCTGCAGTACTCCACTGATGTGTTGAAGGTGAACAACTGGGTATAACTGGGATAACACTGCAATGGAAACGGGTTCTTTGGTCGCTTGTCTTGGACAGTTTTCCTTGAGGGATGGCGAAGGCGGTTGGGAGGAGCGCGTTGTATTGCAATACAGTTTTAGGCTGAGACCTCGAACAATGCCCATTTTTGCCTCATTGCTGGTGGTGGCAATGCCAGTTTTGAGTCACTGCTTCATGTCGGGACTCGTGAGGCAATAGGGGTTGGAGGAGTCAGGGCTAGTCCATCACCGCGCATCGCGGCGTGCTGAGTCCCATGGTACCCACCACCTCTAGAAAGCCCTTTATTCCCTCAGCCACCACACAGAGGCAAAGAAAAATGGTTCATTTCCCAAAGCAGATCAGTTTTAGTCAGGTCTCGTTGCCTTAAAGCCACAACTAAGCAAATGCAGGTCATAAAGAGAAGCCAAAGGATGACCAAGTGCCTGCTCCTGTAATCGAGATGGCTTTGGGCAATTTGTCTTATTTCTCAGCTTTCCCTGCTGGGCTGTAACTCAGAGCTGCTTTTTGCTGCTTCCCCGATGGGGAGGCTCAGCACAGGGGTAAGGATGGATAGTCCAAAGCAGAGGGATAAAAGAGCAGGCAGAGAGCGATATAACCTTTCCATCACCAGCTTTTCGGTCTCTTTTCTGGTGGGTCCATTGTGTCTATTGAATGGACCTCAGGTCCAACATCCCAAATGTGAGGCTTTAGTCCCAGGTTGAACTTCCACGTTGATTTCACCCCATGGCCTTTGAATCTGGGTTAGCTCGGGCTATCTCAGGTGTCGGGACCTGGTGGTCCTTCAGATATCCCCCAGCAGTTGAGCCTAATGGGCTCCAATGGTGATGATTGATAGTTTTTAACCCAGGTCTAAAGCCCCTGGGGACCCTTTAGAGGCAGAAAAGCTGCTTTCCTGCTTTTGCAGACGTGGTTGGGCTCGCGAGCATTAGCGATGAGGACCACGATTGCTCAGTGTCACCGTGAGCTCTCCCCGGTGCAGATGGAGGCAGTGATAGAAGGAAGAACGATGATAATGGGATGAAATGCTCAGAGAGGGGTTTTAGCCTGCCATTAATGCATTAGGGATGCAGCTCCCAAGGGAGATAATGGAAGTGCTGCTAGGATTACAAGCGCCTCTGCAGACAAGGAAGACAGTGCTGGTAATGGAGTGCGGCAGCGGAAACAGGAGGCAATGCCTCTCCTGACACCTCCTGGGTGTCTCCCCTGCCATCGTTCTGCCCACAGAGATGTGGTTATCTCCCCTCCATGTTGTCTTCTCCATTCAGCCCCCCAGGTAGAGTATTGAGGCTGTGGGGTTATGAGCAGACCCAAACCACATCTACAAGGTTGGAAATCGCTTCCTTATTTCCAGCTCCACGCCTCGGCGGCATTCCCCACCTCAGCCTTTGTCTTTATTGCAAGCCAAGGCATTTCCCTTCTCTGCTGTGTCAGCATTTCCCTGGGGAGCATCCCTGTCACCCCATAGCCAGGGAGCAGCAGGTCCCATGGTGAGCAAAGCAGCTCTGATGAGCCCAAGCTGCCTCATCTGCAGGGGTTGAAGGGCAGGGTTAACAGCAGGAGCTGTTTCCAAGGGTGAACTTTAAACTGTGATTTCCAGGCTGGGGAGAATAGAAGTGATGCCCTGACGTTATCGCTGCGCCAATAAAACCTTTCCAGAAAGCCCTTATTAGAGCAAATGTGACCTTTGGAAAACTCAAAGGGTCCAGGGTTTAGGTGGAAACAGATTATACGTGGGTGCCACAGTAGGGTAAAAGGAGGTTAAAGCCTAGTTGGGCTCCTCTCCATCCTCCCTGCTGCTCCAAACACTCCCCCGGGGTGGTTGGGTCCATGAGTTATAAACCAAGAGGAAACCAGCTCCTTTGGGAGGTGATAAGAGCAGATGAAAGAGTAAATCATTAAGCCAGTGCAGTGCACTGCATTGTAATAACCAGGGGGCAAAGTGCGCTAATTACAAGCCAGCAGGGACGTGGGCATGTTATTAAACACAGGTTGGATGAGGAGGGAAGGGGAAAGTCAGGCTGCGCAGAGATGCTCTGTAATGGTGGGTGCTGCTCCCAAGCCACAGCATCAGCTGGACCTTCCACTGGAGCAGCTTGCTCCAAGCCCCTGTGTCCAACCTGGCCTTGAGCACTGCCAGGGATGGGGCAGCCACAGCTCCTCTGGGCACCCTGTGCCAGCGCCTCAGCACCCTCACAGGGAAGAGCTTCTGCCTAAGAGCTCAGCTCAGTCTCCTCTCTGGCAGGTTCAAGCCATTCCCCTTGTCCTGTCCCTACATCCCTTGTCCAAAGCCCCTCTCCAGGTTTCTCCTTTAGGCACTGGAGCTGCTCTAAGCTCCCCCCTTCAGGAGCCTTCTCCAAAGGAGAGCTGTTTGCTCCAGGGCACTCGTTGTTGAAAACAGAACAGTTGTGTTTGGGTTTTCCCCCTGTGCTCACCTCTTGCGTGTTTCCAGAGGAGGAAGAGAAGCAGGAGGAATAGTTTTGCTGGTCACGCGTCCCAGATAAGCCTCCCTGCTTCCTGCTGCTGAGCCATCGGGCAGGACAGAAGGCAGCAACCCCAAAACAGGCCCTGCTGTTGCACCGAGCTCACCCCATCTCACATCAGCCAGGTTATTCCTTCTCCATGTAAGTGACTGTAAGTTTCTCTGCTCTGATTGATCAATGTACTATAGAATGGTTGGGGTTGGAAAGGACCTTATCCTTTAGATCATCCTATTTTGACTGCATCAATCGCACGTGGGAAACTACCAGGTCCCATCCAATATGGCCTAAAAATAAAACTGCTGGAGCTAGATCATGGAGTTGCATATATAACTAAGTATTGTTGGAATTATGGCATTAATATGGCTTGATATGGCTGCAGGGTTTCTTTGGTACTCTGGGATGGGTTTAGTTATGCTTTCAGTCTTCGTCCTGATGTTATCCCAGTGTGTATGTGATGGGATTCTCTGCACAACCAGAAATGTCCCAGCCATCTCCCTGGCTCATGTATGCTGCTCCCTTCACCACAGGGATACAGGTGGATGCTCTGATTCCCTGCTTGTTCCTTTCCAAGTTCTAAACAGCCTATTGTGTTAATGCACTGGACTGTGCTGGCAGTGCTGGTGACCGGTGCCTTGCTTTGATTCTGTGTTTAATTACCCAGTGTCAATAAATCCCTCCCTTTAAATCATGCCTGCAAAGCTGCTAGAGAGGGAACAGCATTTCCATGCACAGCTTTTTCCACACCTGGATTAAATCCCCTCCTAAATGTATTGCCATGAAACCCACCGTGCTAGCTCATAGGTGTCCTGCGACCAGCCCCAAGGACGTGAGCCCTGTCCGCGTGTCGCTGCATGCACCGGGGTGGTGTTTGCATGGGGAGGCAATGTTTGCTCACTGTGAGCTGTTGGATGAGGTGGCTTGGTTAAACCAGTTCCATTCGGGCAGGTTGGCTCCAGGGGCTTTAGCAGGTCTGATCTAACCTGGCACATTTGCCTGCCCAGGGACAGCTTCCTCTGGGAGATGGTATCTGCACACAGGGCTTCAAAGGTGTCCTTGGGACAACCTGACTTCAAATCAAAGCCTCTCAAAGGCCAGCAGCACAAGCCATGTTCTCCTCATGCCCCACTTGTCCTTTATGCAGAATAAGTGGTGGAGAGGCACTGGCAAAGAGAAGCTGTGGCATTGCTAAATGGAGAGGGAAGTCCTAGGCACTGGCAGCAGAGCCTTTGCTGTCAATTAAAACATCCTAATTGACCACATTGACACAACTGACCTGTGAGGGCACCAAGGCAGGGCCCTAGAGGTACACTGGAGCCCACAGGACAGAGTTAATAGTTAATAGATTCTCCTCCTAATTAAGCAAAGCAACAAATGGCAAACAGGAGCTCTAATTCCCCTAGGAAACGGGTCCCTGGCTCTCCTGCCTAGCTTGGGTGTGATCCTGTCCTCCACGTGGGGCAAATCCCGGCTCAGTGATGCTCCATGGAGAGAAGAAGGGATGGGAGGAGGTGCTAAAAAGCCCACCCTGGAAGGGAAGCCCCATTCTTCCCATTGCTATGTCAAAGAACTGGTGTCAGCTGCATCACGGCATGGCTTTTCCTTTGCCTTGCAGACAGAGGAGGTTGTCAGGATGGCAAACTTCAAGGGCCACGCGCTTCCAGGCAGTTTCTTCCTGCTCTTTGGGCTCTGGTGGTCGGTGAAATACCCGCTGCATTATCTCAGCCAGAAAGTAACTAAGAAATCCCACAGGATTTATTGCTTCAAGCGTGTGGACGCCATCGAAGGGGGACTCAAAATCACCTTTGCTCTCATAGGTAAGGGTTATATTTTACTGGCTATGCTGGTAACTTCCCAGCCAGGAGTGATGCCCAAACTGGAGCCTTTACTCATAGAAACTACATGTGGAAGGATGAGACTTTGATGTTCATCTTGTCTTGATCTCTAGTAGGGATTGACAGGGAAAGGCCAAGTCTCGTGTCCCTCTTCAAACTGAGCTACCACTAATAAAGCCAGCCCTGATTTTGATATCCAGTCCTTTCTCCTTCATGCAAACCCACCCCTTCTTGCTTCAGAGCCACCCCAACAGCAATGAGTCAGGTCAACCATCATTGCAAATGAGGCATGAGGACCGCATGCTCTCCTGTGTCCATGCAGGGATGCTGGCAGAGCAGTTCGTCCCGGATGGTCCTCACTTGTACCTCTACAGTGGGGAGAACCACGACTGGGTGAAGCTGATGAACTGGCAGCACACTACCATGTACCTCTTCTATGGCATCTCTGGGGTGGTGGACGTCTTCACCTACCTCTCCCCAGTGGTACCACTGGGTCTGGATCGCCTCATGCTGTCTGTGGCTGTGTTTGTTGAAGGTTGGTACAAGGAGATGCTTCATTTGGGGAGGGATGCTGAAGGGTGAGTCAGAAAGGGATCAGAACTTGCCAGGCTGAGATATCGCCCTGAAGATAGGACATACTGTAGGTGATGTATTATGAGAGCAAGATGCGAAATACGGGCATCAATAGGTCCTGGCTTTGCTTGGTTTGGGGTTTCTGGGATGGCAGCGGCACAAAGCAGCAGGCTGAGTTTCCTCACCATGATAAATGGCTGGAGGATGCTGCGTTTATCTTCCATCTACAGAGCTGTTTGCGTGCCTGTGTTCTCCCTTGAGAGCCATTAATTGCACTGCAGGCACTGTCACCCTCATCTGCTTGCATTGCACGTGGCAAACTCAAGTGACTTATTCCATCATGGATATCAGTTTGTCTTCAGGCTGTCTTGTGAGACACAAGTCAGGATTTCAGGCCCCTCTTGGAGCACGCAGGCAAAAGGCACTGGGAAATGAAGGTCTTGCTTACGTAGAAAACCCATTAAGGAAGGCACTGCTCCTGTTATCTTCCCTTCCCTCATCCCACTGGTTTTCCAAGCAGCAAGGGCAGCTCAACAGGCACCATTTGGTACATGAGAAAAGGAAATCTGTGCCTACAGCTCTGAAGAGCACGGTGAGGTTTTAGCAGTAGAAAAGCAGGATGCAGCAGGACTCTGACCATGAGGAAAGCGTGATCTGAAGAGGTGAAGGAAACCACCTCTGTTCTCTGGTTTTGGTCCCCATGTTGCTCATGGTTGGGCATCGCATCCCTCAAGGATGGTGGGATGCCAGGAGACCCGAAGGGATGGTGCTGCGTGGAGTGCCTTGTTTTCATGGTGGCCTGCCCCCATTTGCCATCCAGGCAGGTGATTCTCCCTGGCAGGGCTCTGTGGTCATGGTTGGTGTCACTAACTCTAACCTGGTATTTTGCAGGTTGTCTCTTTTATTACCACGTCCTTCACCGCCCTATGCTGGACCAGCACATCCACTCCCTGCTCCTCATCGCCATCTTCGCAGGGGCCTGCAGCACCATGCTGGAGGTCTTCCTGCGTGACAACATCGTCCTGGAGATGTTCAGAGCCGGGGCCACCATCATCCAGGGAACGTGGTTCTGGCAGGTGGGTTCTCTTATGGAGCAGGGCAGCGAGGTAGGAGAGCAGTAGGCAAAGGGGAGCAGAAGCCGCACGTCACATATCGATCACGCATCTCTGAAGGATGGTTTATGCCAGGCTCGCTTCATAAATAGATCATAACCCCCAATGAAAATGTGCTTATCACCGGTCATCCCTGATGGCTGCTGCTGCTGAAGTTGCTGTTTGCCTTGGCTTATGGCTTCTCAGGGGGGGAAGAGCCCATGCGAGCGCTCCCAGGATCTAACAACCAAGTCCTAATTGCTTAATGTGCCTAATGCACCCTGCAGCACTCCCTCTGGTTTAGTGGAAAGATGCAAACCCCACCGAGCAATGAAATACAGCCAACTGCTTGCTTTGGTAGGAGGTGGAGAGGCAAAGTGATCAGGGGGAGAGAAGCACTCTCAACGCTAAGGTGCCAAAGAGAAACGTGAGCTCCCTCCTTTCTCAGCTGCCCTAACTCAAACCAGGCTTTATTCAGATTGGGATGAGCTTGTAAAGTGGGAAGTTTTAAAGGAAGGATAGGAGTTTGCAATGCAGTGGGACAACAATGGTGTGGGTATTGTACAGAGTAAGAGAGACCACAGGAGCAGGCTTGCTTTATGTGGTCTCTCATTGCAAGGCTGGACTTCCCCTGTCCACTTCCACAATCCTGGTCAGGACCCACGTCCCTCCCATCACCACATGGATCATGGTGATGACAGAGATGGACACAAAGCACATACATTGGTTTCCTTTCCCCCCCCAAGGTAAAACATTGCTTGTTCCACCCAGATCGGTGTCGTGCTGTTCCAGCCATGGGGAGGCCCAGTGTGGGATGAGAAGGACCACAGCAACATCATGTTCCTCACCATGTGCTTCTTCTGGCACTGGGCAGCCGCCGTGGCCATCCTGGCTATAAACTACGCTCTCGCTTACTGGTATGGCTGGGGCAGGGATTTGGGCAGGAAGGGATGCGGATGGCTGGAGCGGGATGCGGATGTACTCCAACCCATCCTGGAGTACAAAGAGCTGGATAAGCAGCTCCTCGCTACAGCAAGCTCCAGGGCACAGCCCCAAGGGTGCACGTGATGTGTTGAGCGTGCAGAATGCAAACCAGTGTCAGCAAGAGGCACAGGCATCAAATGGGAAGTCAAATAACAGAGACCCCGAAGTTGGGCCTGGAAATCACACTGTGGTTTTGCTATGCTGGAAGTCAAACTCTGATTCACCAGAGCAATCAAAGCATTACCAGGGCTCCCTGACGCTTTGTCCCCTCCTTTGCAAGGGTTTGAAAGCTGTTGACAGTCACTGAGCTACGACAGCACTGTCTGATGGCTAAAACAGCACCAGCCCCCAGCATGGCTTTTCCAAGCAGATGGGAAGGGGACATTATCCCACTTCCAGGGGTGCTCCTATGGCCAGTGGATCTCTAAGGGATGCATGGTTTGCTGAGACATGGTTGGACTTGATCTCCAAGGTCTTTTCCAACTCAAGTTATGGCTGCCCCATCCCTGGCAGTGCTCAAGGCCAGGTTGGACACAGGGAGCAAGCTGCTCCAGTGGAAGGTGTTCCTGCCTGTGTCATGGAACTGGATGAGCTTTGAGGTCCCTTCCAACCCAAAGCACTCCATGATTCCATGGGTGACAGATGGGGTAGTCTATGCAAGCAAACAGATGCTGAACAGAGTAAAATCCCCTCAGTTCCCACCCAAACAGCATCTTGGGGACTCTATAATAGTTTCTTCTCTTCTGTATTCAGTACAAGTGCGTTGGGCTCCCTTGAGCATTCAGTGAGGAGCAGTGGCTGGGGGTTCTGCTAACAGTGATTTATGTGTTCCAGCTGCATCCAGAGGTGCAGGGCAGGCAGTGGGGAGCCCTACATCAGCCTCGGGGTCCGGCAGCAGAAGCGTGACCCGAGCTCCCAAGCCACCTTCTTGAGTGCATCTGATGAAGAGTGAAGGGGGAGCAGCCGCCTGCTCCAGGTGCTGCCTAGAAGACAAAAACCCAACGCCAATGGGGGATTCCTGCTTTGGGAGAGGAAGGAGAGCGGCACCGTTCTGCTGCTGGGGAGCACACTGAGCATGCAGAGGGGATCTGCCCTCCATCTATGTCCCAATATTGACCCTTTCTAAGCCAGCATTGGGTTTCAGCCGCAACGTTAGGCATGGGAATTCGATGTGAGAAGATCTCTTCATCCCATGTGTGCTCCTGTAGTGATGGAGGGCACCTTTTCACCCGACTTTCCCAAGGGCATGGAGGCTTTGACCTGCTGTCCGTGGAGTCAGGGACACCCCCAGGCTGAGACCATGCGCCTCTGGAGCAAGGCATCACCCCAAGGAGGAAGAGGAAGAGCGTGGAGTGCGAGCTGATGTCAGGTTTGCACCACCGCTGTGGCTCTGTTGTGCACAAAGCAGGTTTCATTACGGAGGCACTGAACTATTGAACATTGAGCTGTTTGTAGTTCTCCTGTCCACTTACAGGCTGAAAGAGCGAATAAATGGGAAATAAACCCCCCACTGAGCTGATATCCTTACATTTAGGACTTGGAAATCATAGAGTGTGTGATAACAGCTTCGACAAACCCATCTCTCAGACCTGCAGAGCCTGAAGGACTGCAAGATGCTAAGCAGCAGGCATTCACAAACCCTCATGGTTTTCCAGTGGGAATAACGCAATGTGAGAGGAAACAGGCACACATTTTGGTTTGAGCCTTCTTTGCCAGCTAATTCCTTGCAATGGAAGGGACTGGAAATGTCCTCAATAGGAGGAAAAGATGCATATATATATGTATGTATAGGATAAACAGCAGCCCGTCGCTGGGGCCGGAAGGATGCTCTGTGCAGAAGCCTCCCTGATGTCTGGCACAGGAGGGATGGGTGGCAGCTGGGCTTGTGCTTGCTCGTGACTGAAGAGGAAAGCAGCTACAGGCAGGGAAAGCAAAGCTCCTCCTTGAGCATCCTTGTGCAGAGCCTCTTGCAGAATAAGGGTCTTATTGCTTAGTAACAGTGCTATGAAGCCTAACCTTGGACCCCAGCTTCCCTCTATTTCCACCACTGAGATGGTTCGTTTCGCAGGCCTGGATCCCTGCGTTTTCCCCTTGGAAAAACACTCCCCACATCCCTATTCCCATCAAATCTCCACATGAGGGCAGCACCAGGCAAGGCTCTTTCCCTGTGCTCCATGCTGGCTGAGGCTGCGCTCCCCATGCAGCCGCCCTTGCTGAAAGCAGAGGTTATTCCCACCGCAGGGAGGCTGACCCATTCCCTGCTTGTGAAGGTGGGAGGAGGTTTATCCAACCCTTCCCTGCTCTTTTAGCTGCTCCTAATGGAGCCGCTGCCCCCGTTCACCCCGAGGTTTTCTTTGTCCCTTGTCACTGCAGGGCCACAAGAAGCCTTTTTCCCTCTGTCTGGTATAGCCTCATTAATCCCTGCTCCTGCAGACACCCCAGCACTGTCAGGATAGCGATCCTGATCTGTTTTCCAGCTCTGGGGCACATGCTTTCCCAAGGGATGGAGGTCAGCCAAGGAGGAGGGATGCAGCCTGTGGTTAAGTAGGAGAACACAGGTGATGCTCACTTCCGGAGCAGGAATAAGCATGTTCCTTTTAGCTAGGAGAAACCCATGTTTGTAAATAGCTCCAGTTTTGGGGTGGTTGTCCTGGATCCTGATTTTCACCATATAAACTGAGTTATTTCCTAGTGTCTTTGCACTGGACCCACTGGAGGGGAATGGGGTATATTTGTAGTCAAACGCAGCTCTGGTTTCAAAAGAGATGCATGGTGAGTGGTCCAGAGATGCTTTATTGTATAGCAAGGTGCCCCCACAAGCTGTTAGACTGATTTCTTACATGTTATGGTATAGATGCTAAAGGGAGCATTGCTTTGAGCCAGGACAGTACTAAAGGGAGTATTGCTTTTAACACAACCTTAGCATCACCCAATTGTCCTGGACCATCAGCGAGCACCTTTGTACTGGATGAATTGGGTTGAATTCATAGCCCAATCCAAAGCTGGTTTTAAAAGGCCTCATTTCCCTGGCAGAGATAGGATCTGCTGCTGCCACCCTTCCTGGCCACCTTTGTGTAAGGCTGAAACGATGGTGTAGGCAGCAGAACGAGCCCTGCCTATGCTGTTACCGCCTGCTTCACCTCCTCTGGAGCCTGTTTATGGAAGGCAGCGCTCGCATTCGTCATAACAATAATAACACTCTGCACTTCCCAAACACCCATCCATCTGCAGTGCCCGGGCTGCTGGTGAGCCTGTAATTACACCGTGCCTCCCACCGCCCCCGGGGAAGCAGGCAAACATTATCGCATCTTCCCATTAGCTGGATGGGGAACCTGCAGGGAGAGGATGCTGCGCGCCCAGCTGAGGAGAAGGGAAAAGAGGAGGGCAGTAATGAAATGCACTTTGGGGTTTAGCTTGGGGTCATTAGAGGGGCTGGAATGAGATCATTACAGGGGTAGGAGCAGGTCAGATGCAGATCTGCATCCCTCTGTGTCTCCCTGGGAGGAAGAGGACATCAGGCTTGGGTTAGAAAGGACCTAAAGATCATCCAGTTCCACCCCCCTGCCATGGATACCTCTCCTATCCTTAGGGATCCTCCACATCCCTAAGGAGCTGTGATGGAGCTGCATCCATTGGTGCCTACAATGCTGTGTGAGTGACCTGCTCTGTGGTTTAGAGGGGACATTGCCATCCTTTCTCTGGGTACCCTATGGTGTTCCCATCCAGTTGTCATAGTTTTATGCTTGTTTCCATCATGGGGATGGCATAACAGGCTAGAAACCCCTTTCCCTCACACCACTTTATCCAGCCATAACCTTTCTCCCTGTCTGACTGCAGGGGCTTTAATATAAGCTGCCTTTTCATGGGCATTTCCTCTATATGCTTTCCTCTTTGCTGGCCCTTTAAACCCCATGGAAAATGGCATCATCAGATCCCTTTCAGCTGAGCATCATTTCCTCCCCTCTCCCTGCACCTGCTGCCCTCCCAGCTTCCATTGCCCCACTTCCTGCAAGGACCTCACTCATCCTGCTTGGGCAATGCCTTTGTGCTGAGGGTTTGTTGAGCTGGCTGCTTGGAGAAGGGAAAACTGAGCTGCAAAGAGCTCCTTGATGCTGCTGCCCTTTTGCCATTGAGAAAGGTGAGTTTATGTTGTGTGTTGTATTTAGGGTAGGTCTGTAAGGAATTTCTCTCTCTGCTTGGGTTTAATATGGTAGGAAGCCCATGAAGTGAACCCAATGCTGCTCTGGAACACAGGAACCCTGTGTGTGTGCATTGAGCCCTGTGCATCGTCCCTTGCTCCCTGAGCACTGATGTGTGCACAGCGCGGCCGAGTGCCAGCACCACCGCCAGCTCCTTGTTTCCCTTCCTGCCTCCCACTGCTGATGTGGAGATAAAAGGGCATAAAGCAGCTCCTGGCTACAGCTTGGTGGCTTTTATGGCTGTGCTGGCCAGGAGCCCATCACCCTGAGCAGCCCGTCATGGCTCCTGCGCTGTTCTCCACCCCTGGGCCTTTCCTGCCTCACGTGTGGGGCTCTTGGCTGGTCCTGCAGCCTTCCTTGGGGTTATTGTGGGTTGCACGAGGAGCCGTGCATAGGAACACTGGGTTGGGGATGCTCTGCGTGATGGTTAGCGCCCATGTATTACAGTAACCAAGGGCAGGTTGGATGTGGCTTGGAGCAACCTGCTCTAGTGGAAGGCGTCCCTGCCCATGGAACTACTGAGCTTGAAAAGCCCCTTCCGACACAAACCATTCCATAGCTGGAGATGCGGGCAGTGCCGACTGTTTCTGCACCATTAACTTGGTGTTTCAGAGGGAAATTGGGATGCTGGAGGGGTCTGTGCTATCTATTTCCCTTGAGGCACTTGCATTGCTCATCTACACAGCCATCGAGGTGCTAAGCCTGGGTCAATGCTCCCCTCCTCTTGGTTGCTGTGGGCTGGGAGATGGAGCTCACAAGGGCTCTGCTTTGATTTGTGAGCTCCTGGTCCCACATCTCCTGCTTCCAGGCCCTTATTCTAACCCCAGACCCCCCTAACAGGGTCATTGAGTACCTGGCATCCCAGGTTAGAGCCCTTCCACAGCCTTGCCCCTCTCAAGCCCCTCAACGTAAGACCTTTACATGGTTTCCACGGGGATGGGAAGTGGCTGCTCGTCCTGATTCCTGTGGCAAATTCCAGGAGGCTGGAATTTGGTTGTTAATGGCAGACACGGAGGTGTTCCGGGTTGGGAAAGCCGGGTTGACTCAGCGTGCTTTGAACTGCCCCGCAGGATGCTCAGCTCCAAACATCCTGTGCCAGGGCCGCCTCCCCCGGGGTGCCTTCCCCTTTATCTGCCTCCTGTGGGTAATAACAGCTCCTGGCTGGCACATCTGGAGCGGGAGGAGGACGGGCAGGAGCCACAGGTAAAGTCTCTGCCCCATAGAGAGGAATGGTGCTGGTGAAAGGCTCTGCGATGGGATGGATGGGGCTGCTTGAGCTTGGGAAGAAGGGATGTGGGAGAGTTCACTTCTCAAGGCAAAGGTTTAGCGTGGAGATGTGACAGCAACCTGTGTCTTTAGGCCTGTTTTAGGGGGGGTTATCAGGTTTTGGAGGAGTGGGAGCTCGTGCCTCTTGGGTGAGTGCTGTTGGCACAAGAGAGATGTGCCTGGGTAGCAAAGTGGAGGAGGATGCACAGAGAGAAGCCCCTCCAAGCATCTATGGCCAGGCAATGAACTTGCCCTCTGGTTGTCCTATGCTTGCACCCATGGGGATGCTCATACATCCACATGGGAAGGCAAGCATTGATCCCCCTGCATCAGCTGGAGCAAGGCCCCATAGGAGGCCGTAGATGGTGATGGACACAGAAAGCCTGGAGACTGGGCAGGAATGCTGCTGTTCCTGAGGCTGGGAATGCTGTGAGTGCTCAGCATGAGGCACAGTAAGGAGAACAGGGAGCTCCAGTATGGCTGTTAACCAAAAGCATTGCAGCCT